GGGTCGGGGCTTGGGGAGAGGACTCGGCCTCGGGTCCTGTGGTGAAGGACCTCGAGGCTGGGGAGGGGCTGACTTGGGGGCCTTGGGCCCCGCTGGACCCCGCCTGGGTTTTTCTTCCCACTGAGCGGGGCTTATTGTTACAAGGAGTGGGGTTTTCTTTTCCCCCCCTCTGCGTACGAGTTGGATTTGGTGTCGGCCCCTCCCCGGGTTCGGTTCCGTGTTCCCCCGGGTACGTCGGTTCCGTCCTTCCGGAGGTTTTCGGCTTATCGCATCCAACCTGGTGTGGTGCGAGCGGCCTTTGCAGCGTACCTCCTGCGTGACCCGGATTATGCCTCGGAAATGGATCCGTCCACGTTCAGGTTTGGGACTTCGTTCCCTTTCTGGCTCCGTTACGAGGTTCCGGAGTCGTCCTGGCTAGCAGACTGCCCCTTGTTTGGTCTGGATTCCTGGCATTCCTTCTGTCGTTCCCGCGCGCTGGAGTGGCGGGAAGCTTCCACGGTGCTTCAGGTTTTCCTGGGGGGCGTACTTGAGTACCTGAATGAGTGCTTTTTTGCCCCTGCCCTTCCCCGCGATGTGGGCGTTATTCAGCTCCATGTGCAGGTTCTCTCCCTTTCGGCGGCGCTCGTTGCGGAGGACTTGCGCGCCCGGGGCCTTTTGGCTTCGGCCTTGCGGTTCTTTTCCCTCCTGGAGCTGTCTTTGGATTGGCTCGTGGAGGATGTGGGGAAGCTTGGGTCCGTCCCTGGGTCTGGCACCTTGTCCTCGGCTGCGCGTTCGTTGGCTGCCTTGTTGAAGCTGTTCACGCCGATTTTGCGGGATGCGGTTTCCCTGTTTTATGCTTCCCGTCTCGCGTGTCGGCAGGCGGTGCTGGGTTCCTCTGTGGAATCTGCTTGGGCTCTGGCTCTTAGGCGTTCTTCCCCTTTTTGTCCTCTCCTGTTTGAGGAGTCGGCCATGGCGCAGTTTATTCAGGCTGCGTCGGCGGCTTGTCGTCCGATGTCGGACTTGTTGGTTTTCCGGGGGTCCCGGGGTGGGTCTTCCCGGAAAGGTCGTGCCAGGGCTCGGGGTTCCTCTCGTCGTGGTAGGCCTCTGGTGTCGGGTTCGGGGTTGGCTCCTCCTGCAGACCCTCCCTCGTCTGGTCGGCGCGGTGTTCGCACTGTGCGGGGTTCTGGGTCTCGTAAGGGTCGCCGGCCCTTTCGAGGTTTGCCCCCTTGACGGGGCGTTGGGGGGCGGCTTGCACTGTTCGCCCGCGCCTGGTCCCACTATTCGTGGGCCTTTTGGGTCGTGTCTCGTGGCCTGTGGTGGCGTTGGGTGGCCCCTCCCCCTTTTGGGGGGTCGGGGCTGGCAGGGGAGGTTTCTTCCCCTGCGCTCTGTTGAGTCGTCTTGGAGTGGGTACTCTTGGGCGTCGTCGAAACGACGTCGTCCCTCAGATGGGTTTCCCGTCTGTTTCCGGTTCCGAAACGGGACTGCGCGGACCTGCGGTTCATTCTGGACTAGTCCCATCTGAACCCCTGGGTTCATTGCCCCTCCTTTCGGATGACTACGCTGTCTCAGGTTCGGCTCCTCTTGGAGCCAGGAGCTTGGATGGTGTCCCTGGACCTCCGGGACGCTTATTGGCATGTCCCGATTCATCCGTGGTTCAGGGACTGGCTCGGTTTTGTTGTGGGGCGTCTTGAGTTACCGCTTTCGTTGTCTCGCGTTCGAGTTGAACCTGGCACCTCGCGTGTTCACGCGCCTTACACGGGTTGTGGTGGCTCGTTTGCGTCTCCTAGGTGTTCGGGTGTTGGCCTACCTCGACGACTAGCTGGTTTGAGCTCCCAGCCAGTCAGCTTGCTTGCTAGCCAGGGATTTGGTTCTTTCCCAGCTCGCCGAGTTCGGGTTCTTGGTGAACTGGAGGAAGTCCCATCTGGTTCCCTCTCAGGTTCGGACTTGGCTGGGTCTCGTTTGGGACTCTTGAACCGCCTCCTTGTCTCTCCCTCCGGAGTCTCTCCTGCGGCTGCGGTTCCGCCTTCGTCTGTTTCTGGAGGGCCCTCGGGTCACCCAGCGGTTGCTCGAGGGGCTGTGCGGGAGCCTGAACTTCGCAATGGTGGTCTACCTGCCGGGTCGGGTTTGGCTTCGACGGCTGTTCTGGTTCCTTTGGGGTTCCCCCTTCCGCCTCTCTCGCGATCGCAGAGTTCGACCCCCGGGGGCCTTGCGTCGGTTGCTGCGTCACCGGCTTCCTCTTCAGGTTTTTCGGGGTTCAGTGCCTTGGCGCCTACCCGAGCCCTCGCTCGATGTGTACACGGATGCGTCGTCTCTCGGCTGGGGTTTTGTGACCAGTGCTCACCAGGCCAGCCAGGGGCGTTGGGATCCGTCCTTCCGTTGAGCTCACAGCACGGTGCAGGAGTTCGCGGCAGTGTGGTTTGCTCTGGGGAGGATTCGGGTGGCCCGCGGATCGACGATTCGGCTCCATTCGGACTGCTCTCCAGTGGTTCATTGCCTGAACCGCGGGGGTTCGATGCGGTCCTTGTCTCTTTGGGGTTGGTCGCTTCGGGTGACTCGTCTGCTGAGTTCTCGGGGTTTGGCTCTCCTGGCGGTTCACGTGCGGGGCGTGTCCAACGTCTTGGCCGAAGCCCTGTCTCACTTCGTTCCCCTCTCCACGGAGTGGACGGTCGACGACGAGTCCTTCCGTTGGCTTTGCCAGACGTTCGGGCGCCCCGAAGTGAACCTCTTCGCGTCGGCGTGGTCACGGCGTCTTCCCGTTTATGCGGCGCCCTTCCCCGATTGCGAGGCCGTCGGGGTCGATGCCTTTCGGCTAGACTGGTCGAGGTGGAGGTTCCTGTACCTCTTTCCCCCGGTTCGGCTGTTGCTCCAGGTCCTGACTCGCTTAGAGACTTACCAGGGGAGAGTTGTCCTTCTGGCCCCTTGGTGGCCGGCCCAGCCTTGGTTTCAGGCGCTGGTTGCTCGGTGTCCGAACCCGAGGGTTTTCCCGCGGCTCCGCCTCTTTCAGCAGATCGGGCCGGTACGTCACGTGGCTGGTTCGATCTTCTCCTCAAGTCTTCGCGTATGGTTTTTTTGACTCGAGTCTATCATCATCTCTATGGTGATCAGGTGGCCTCCTTGTTGGTGTCCCACCTGAGGGCTTCTTCTCGGCGGCAGTATGAAGTTTCCTGGCAGTCCTTCCGTTTCTTTTTGCGTCTTCGTCGTGTTAGTTCCTTGTCTGTTCGGGTGGTCTTGTTCTTCCTCTCGTGGTTGTTTCAGGACCGTCATCTTATGCCTAACACTGTCGCTTCGTATCGTGCGGCGCTGGCGGAGCCGCTTCAGCTTGCTTTCGGTATCGATGTTACGTCTGCGCCGTTTCGCAAGCTGTCTCGTGCATTGTTTCACCTCCGGCCTGCTCATGCGTCGCCTGAGCCGTCCTGGTCTTTGGACAGAGTGCTCGCTTTCCTTTCATCTCCTCGTTTCGTTGTGGCCCCTTCGGTCCAGGATTGTTTTTCCAAGGCACTTTTCTTGTTGGCTTTGGCCTCTGGGGGTCGGGTAGGGGAGCTTCATGCTCTCCTCCGGCGCAGGGGTTTCTGCTCTTTTGGTCGTGGTGATTGTTTTGTTCGTTTGCAGCCGTCTCCTTCTTTTCTGGCGAAGAATGAGACTGCTGCGTTCCGGAGGGGTCCATGGGTGGTTGATGCTTGGTTGGTCAGGCCGGGGGTGCATCATGTTTTGTGTCCGGTTGTGGCGCCTCGCCGTTATTTGCGCGCCACAGCTTCTGTGTGCGGGGACGCGCTGTGGGTTGATCCGGTTTCCCTTCTTCCCTGTTCGCGGGTTCGGGTCTCTCAGGTCGTCCGCAGGGTTATTAAGTCCAGCCAGCCTGTGGTCTATCCCCGTGCCCATGACGTTCGTAAGTTCGCGGCTCTTGCTGCCGTCTTTGGGAATATGTCTTGGTCTGATATTCGGGCGCGGGGATTTTGGCGGTCGAACAGGGTCCTGGCTGCTCGTTACCTTGTGAATGTCCCTGGGCCTCGTTGAGCCTGTGTTGCTTTGGATCGGCGGTTGCAGCCAGTTGTCTCGGCTTCGAGTTGAGGAGTGAGCGACGACCGCCTCCCGGGTAAGCCCCTTTTTTCTTCCTCTGTGGGTAGTTAGCTCCGGGGAGCCGACGGGGCTCCCCCCAGAAAACCAGCGTTGAATGTAATGAAACGCCATTTTCTGGGTGAGTCCCGGAGGCTCCCCGGCATCCCTCCCTCCCTCCGGTCGGCGGTTTTTCACGTTTTTGACATCCAGCCTCAGAACTGAGGTGTGGATAGCCGGCGCGGGGGTCTGGGGCTCCCCCTTCCCCCTCCCGGGGAGGGGGGAGCTGCGCAGACAGCGGCGCGGCGGTGTGTGACGTCACACTAGTTTGCTTGTTTTCGGTTGGGGAGTTCTATCCACTAGTTCGGTTTTTGGTAGCAATTTTCACCAGAATAGGGGTTTGTTTTGAGGCGCTTACCTTTCTGGGTGCCTGTTCCGGTCGATGGCAGACATAGAATGCTTCCAACCACACGGGGGTTTCTATAGGCCATTGCTCCCCTTGCCTCTCTGAGGGGGCCCGGTTCTGGCTCGTGGTCCCCGGTAGGCCTAAGAACTCCATACACATGACTGATGCCAAAGTCTGACATTAGCATATCAGCCGGTAAGCTCCGGGGAGCCTCCGGGACTCACCCAGAAAATGGCGTTTCATTACATTCAACGCTGGTTTTTTTTTCACAGATGTCAAGAAAAACTTTTTTCTTTTTCACAGATGTCAAGAAGAATTTTTTTTCATAGCACAGATGTCAAGAAGAATAAAAAAAAACTCTTCTAATTTTGATGATATTGTCATTAATTGTGATTATTTCCTTCAGCTTCTTTCTGAACTTTATGATAATGTGTTTACCACAGTACTGAAATCAGCAAGTTCTTGACAGATTTATTGACAAGAACTCTTAATTTTAAAGGGGAAGTGTTAACAAAGTGCTATCTAGTATCTTATTGTAAAGTGAATTATATTTTTCCATTAGTGGTTCCAGTGGGTTTCCCTGTTTAAGGCAGCAGACAGCCGTCCACTAGGTGTTGGTAAAAAATACCAGGCAATCTATAACTTTCCACTGTTAGGTAAGTACACATTTAACCCTGGAACGAGTGCCTTTATTGTGTTGGATAAACACTTATACTGTGAAAAACATAAGTTTTATAAATATTCAGCCCATTCTCCTGTTTTGATTGTACAGTACTGTACTTATAGGAAGGATGTGGACCATGGTACTGTACATATACCGGCGTACAACGCAAATAGAAAGTAGAAATTGGTACTATTGAATTTGGACAAACCAAAAAAGATTTTCTATATGTTGCAAAGACAAACTAAACTAACCTAACCTTCCTAGGCCTAATACACGATATCTGATACCTAATTTAGTACATATGTGCTATAATATGCCTAGGAATTTTATCTTAATATTTTCAGACTCCATAAAGTGAATAGTACCAAAGTCTACTATCTAATTCCTTAGTATGTCAGTCTTTGTACTATGGTGCACAGTTACAAAAATTATTATCTAAAGAGGAGCATGGGTTGAAATATTTATCTGAGATACTGTATAGCTTTCACTTGTTTCCTAAGGTAAGAATCTACTCTTTTTCTTAGAAGGCATTCACAAAATCAACCAATGAGACATTGATGCCCTTGTACTATTGGGATTATTTCATTATTTCATGTCTCCACAAGGTCATAGATAATGTTAAGGTGGCTTTGGAGAAACGTCTAGTCCAGAATGTTCATTGGCAGTATTTGTATAATGACTCTTAAGTACTACTGAATATGACAGTATACTCACTTGGTGCAGACGATGAGTCACAATAACATGGCTGAAATATGTTGACTAAACCACATACTAGAAACACACAGTTTCAGTCCATCCTGGACCATCGACAATCGACTTGAGAATGGTCCAGGACGGACCGAAACGTCGTCGTCCCTTCACTTTCTAGTGTGTGGTTTGGGCATCATACTCACTTGGTGTCACAAGTGAACAACAAAGGTTTCCAGATTCAGATTATGCCACATTTTTTCTGCACTATCTATGAGCGGTCAGCAGGCAAAGACATCTCTTAGTGGCTTGTTTTTATCCAAGGTAAGGGGGTTTGTGTTCATCTTTGTGTGTTTTATGTGTGTGTTTAAAGTGTGTGTGCATGTCCACTGATTCTATGGCCTGTACTTTTAATTTAATATCTGTAGGGCAAGCTATAGATTCCTGTTTCGAGTTATACCATTGCATTTACACAGCCTGTCTGCCTAAGGTTTCTAAGCGTCATTAAATTAAAGGAGTCAAATTAAAGTATCCTCTCCTAACCTACCAGAGGACTCAAAACAGAAAGTGGAACAGTACGTCACTTTCGCGAGCTGCTTCCATTTTCAAGTACTACAATTTTTGGCCTTATGTAACACATACGATCGACATGTGACGCTCTTTGTAAGAGGACAGGTTGATTTACAATCCTCTTTACTTATTCTTGGGACACAGTTGTTTTAATCCCCGTGCAAGGGTCCATTCAGCCATTTGCCCTCCTTATGTGAGTTGATTTGTTCTGTTAACCCCTAGATCTTGCCTTGACAGAGTGAGGGAAATTCTGTAAACACTGACATCTCTAAATAAAATTTGCACTGGACTGACATCTCTAGTCCTTTCTTGTCAGTAGGCTAAATAGGGTTAAGTTGTTGGCAGTCTAGCACTCGTGTTTTGCAACCAGGTTTCTTTTGTGAATTACATTGTAGGTGCCCTGGTTACATTTTCCAGCTCATTTTTGAGCATGTTGGTTTTGGCACCATTTGCTATGGACACAAACCACCTTACCTTGCGGTGACCCCCTCCTCCCCTCCGCCTTCCTGGCTTGTGTCAATAGCAAAGGTGCTTTGGCATATTACTATGATTTAGGCAAAATTTGTCCATGGTGCTGCATGCCATGATGGTGTATATTGACCCTGATTGCCATTACTCAAGTTCCTATAGAAGTACAGTACTGTACATTCCTCTGACAGACATTCGGGTCTGGATTGAGTTTTCGTCTAGTGCCTTCTTAGCACCTTACATGACCACGGAGGGATGTTTGAAAAGGTCCCCTCTGGTGTTGGTGCCTGAATGTCATCTTGCGTGACTTTGTGAATCCTGTCTCAGGCATGGTGGACTCTTACCTTACATAGCAACTATATGTGTTAAAGAAACTTTTCATGTTGACTTAAAGCTAAATTATTGGTACTAAATTATGTTTTCAGTATTAGTGTAGTATATCAAACTGGAGATTTGTTATACCCAAATTATTATACATACACAGTAATATAGTTCTGTATAGTTAAAGGGTAACGTAGTTATAGTTAAAAGTTAGGTATAGTTAAAAGGTAACCATCAGGCACTGTATGCCACTTTCTTGTTTTTACTCTTTTATTTAAATTTTGTTTGTAGCGTAGACTTGCCATGTACACTGTGACTTTATCCTCTGGTACCTGCAGAGGGTTTCTGTGCTATAAAGCATTTTAGTCTTAGTGGTTACTTAATTATATTTTGGAGCAAGGTTCCCTCGGTAGATTCCCTTAGCCTTCTGCACTGGTCCTGTTAAGGTACCAATAAACACTAGGCTTTTAAGTGACTTTAAACCACAGAAAGACAAGTAACCATGCACATTGTATAGAATATGCATTAGGCAGTGATGTGGTGGAGGTAGACCCCAAACACAGTTTAAAATATAGATATGATAGAGCCCAGTAGACTCAAGAATTTGTGCACCAGTTGATTGACAGTTGAAAGGTGAGCTAAAGAGCCGAAGCTCAACCCCCGCAAGCACAACTAGGTAAGTACATTGTCTTGTCCTAATAAATAGGGTGACTTCGGTGGAGAGCATACCTCAATCCACCCCAAAGTAACTGCTCACTATAGCACATACATCCTCTTCACACCACTCCATATTCCCTGCAAACTATTCTCGTGAACTCGAAAATTATTAAGAATCTTTCTGAGCCATCTACCCCAGCTGCCACCTGGTGGAAATAGTATGGAATACCAGGGTCAAGGGAGGTGGCCATCTTATTCTAAGCATGGGCCAGCCTTGACAGCATTGCTTGTTCTAGTAGCAGCTGCTACGGGCTGCTTCCTGGGGGTATGTAACGAAAAGGAGGCCTGGTCGAGGACCAGGCCACAGGGACGCTAAGCCCCAAAATCATCTCAAGATAACATTACTGTATCTAGAAAGGATATCAAACAAATTTGCCATGTTACTTGTCTTCATACTCAGAAGTCAAGCAGAGCCTAACAGTTTATCAGTGCCCAGGTCAGATCGTGTTCAGTTGGCTTAGGGAAGCTACCTAGGTGCCATTCAAAAAGGAGCATTTCTTTCTGCTCAATCCACCATTTTTGCATCTTGATGCTCATTTCATAATTTTATGCATATTATAAGAGGAAGGCTACAAATATACCCTCTCAAAGATAGGAAGCATGTGTGTGTATGCATGTTAATGAGGTCCCTCTAGTGACGGGTGGGAATACATCCACACAGTTTTTTTCTTTTCTAGTCAGGCTGACAGCACTTAAACTGACTGGAGTGCTACGTATATTATCCATTTCACCAAACAGAGAAAGAGTAAAAGGTAGACGTGGGGAACGGGGGAAGGGTAATTATATTTTAAAAGAATATACTGTACTGTATGATATTGCTTGTATCACGAGAGAGGAAGATTTGTGCTTGTAAGATTTTGTCCTAATATTGATTGAATCATGGGTAATGCTGGCATTAAATTAGCAAATAGAAAACGTGCTCTAGGGATCATGTCTTCGTCTTCCTGTCAATTTTTGTCCTGTCTTCGACACACTGGTAGGCTCATCTATATCATCTCTCATCCCACTCTCCCTTCCACCTTGTTTTATTACTAATATTTTTGCTCTTATTTTCAGGAGAATATGTGACTTTGGTCAAAGTAGTTGAATACAAGCCTAATAGCCTAATAATATTAGAATCGAGTTCTTTTCTGAAGCCTCGATTCGTGATTAAAATGGAGGAGAGTGATCTCAAGACAACTCGTCTTACATTTAGGTAAGCAAACTATTTAAAAGTTTGTCATTATAGAAGATACAATGGACCTTCCAAAATCTGAACTGTATAACTCTGCACCGGGTTCAGATTCACAAATAATCTACATTTCCAAATCATTTTGCCTATTCTGGGAAGGCCTCCCCAGTAGCTCCCCTTGCTTAAAGCACTGGTAATGCCAAGCCTTAGGGAAGTGCACCAGGCCTCTTGAGACCTGCCCTGACCTACCAAGAGCCAGGCCCAGAATCTGGCTTTCGCTATGAGTTGAAAGGATCCTATGCATCAGAGATTGACCCAACCTACCTAGTGGTGATTGCAAGGATCAATGTTCCTGTGGTTGGTGGTCTGATCAACCAGGCTGTGGACGGGGCTGCTTACAGCTTGACGTATGAATCACAACCTGGTTGGTCATGTATCCCCCCCCCCCCCCAAAAAAAAAAAACAGAAAGAATAGACACAATAAAAGAAGCAACTACTTAAAGCAATATAATAATCCTGAGGCTAGCAAGGCAAATGATCATTACTCCTGAGATAACTACCCTAACTATAGTGGGCGTAACTACCATCAAATGGTAGCCCAGGTCACTTAGGTGTCTCAACCATCTACATACCTCACTCACTGCCCTAGTTAACAAATCCACAAGGGCCGTGATGAGGGTTTGAACCTACGTCCGAGATGATCCCAGAAGCGCCTTAGTCGATTACGCCACGATCCTTGTTGATTTGTTCATTTGATGTATCACGCTATTGTGATTTCTGTGTGTATTGAAGTAAGGGCGAAGAGGTAAAACATCTGGTTGTCAGAGCCAAGGTGAATTGTGTAAAACCCCGGTTTGTGTCTCGGAGAGGCTATGGAATCCGAGTGAGGGTAGTAGCACTCCCGGTTGCAATTCTTTTGACCATGTCGTGGCGCAATCGACTAAGATGCGTCTGGAATCATCCCGCATGTAGGTTCGAGCCCTCATCACGGCCCTTGTGGATTTGTTCATTTGATGTATCACGCTATTGTGATTTCTGTGTGTACTTCCCTAATGTCTGTCTGGATCACACTGATCTAAATGGTCTCTCCTACTACTACTAATCAGTCAGATAAGTGGTGTTGGCTATCCCTGAACCAATAGTTACACAGGGGACCATTGCTTTATTTTTGTGTTTTGCTGCTTCTCAGTTATGTTTTGTGTCCCCTACATTGCATATGCTTTGGCTTTTTATTTTGAGTCAGTTTTCTTCTTCAGAGAGGCATATATAGTGGATATGTGATGGAACATTTTGGCCTGACCCGTCTCTCATTGATGTAGTAGGACGAGACCGATAAAATAACATCGAACATGAAAATAATGATGTCATAACTCGTAGAATTAAGGAGCTGCCTTGTATGGGCCAATAAGCCTTCTGCAGTTTCTTTAATTCTAATACTCTATTCTTAAGCCAGTCCTTAGTGTGTGTGTGTGTGTATCAAATCAAGGTACTGAGTAATTTAGCTCTGATCAGTATTGTTAAATGTGAGAAATGATTGTAGTAATACAAAATTTTAAGCATTATAAAATAAAAAGGCAACTGTATGATGAAAAGTACAACTAAAACATTACAATAGAAATTATATATTACAGATTAACCCCCAAACTGTGCTGCTATTTAAGTTAAAATGAAAGTTAAAACGGAAAGGCCAACTTTTAATCCAGGATTATTGTGTACTCTCTTTCTTAATTTGTGCTATTCTTAATTCTAGGTTGAAGTACAGGCGTTCATCGGCACTCTTTCAGTGGACGGTTGGACCAGTTTTATGGTTCCTCACCAGTCAGCAGCTCACTCATTCCTTGTTCATGCTGAGAATGATGTTTCCCTTCTGACGGTCGGAAGATAACTCGCATAGTCCTGTCATGGCTACGATTCAGTTATCTTCTTCAGTATGAACGAAAGGAGGTTGAAATCTGACACTTTTCCCACCTGTTATTTTCAATGAATTTTTATCTATTTATTATATCATTATATGTGACAATTTGGAGGGTGTCCTGTGTTTGTTTACATTGGGTGACAATTTGAATTTCTTGTATCTAATTACATTTTAACCAATAGGAATTGTTTTTTTTAGGTTGGAAATTATCGCATACACGTATACAGTGCTAGTTACAAGCTTTTTATAGGACTACATTCAAGAGAAAGGACAGTATAGAGGTACATATTTTTAAATATTTAAAATTTGTCAATACATGGGACAAGTTGTCCTGTGAAGTCTTTTTTAATCATAAAAAAGCTAAATTAAGTGATGAGGTAAGATAATCATTATGATAAAGTACTAAGCAATTATGAGTATGTAGCACTTGGAAGGAACATGAGGATAAAGATTTAGAATAGAATTTAGGAAAAAAAAAGTATTGCCCAATCACTAGGACAATCGTGGATTGAACACCAACCTGGAAGAAGTGAGCCCGTTGCACTAGCGTCTAACCCAAGTGGTGGGAAATTAGATGATGAATGTGCTGTAATTTTCCAGTACAGTGCTTTACTTGACAAAAAGAGTTTGAATGATTGTTGTTACTTCAAGCTAAATAAGTAAGAAAAAGAAATATCTTTTAATTTTTTTTCTTGGATGAAGCCATACTGAACACTCGAAAGATGTTGTTTATATTCATATTTTGTGGGGCCATTTATTTTCTCACAAGAATTTAATGCTTGTGTGATGGTAGGGTGTGAAGGAGGCTGTTTCCTCTGGTGAGTGTTGTTCTCCATCAATAATGTTGCGTGTAAGCAAACTGTTATATAGAAATCACCGACCAGTTGTTTCACAAATCAAGATAGTTTTGTAAAATATTTGGCAACTGTGTGCATTGTAGCTGTTTACTTTACTGAACACATTATTCAATGTGCCCCCCTTTTTTTTTTTTTTAATGACGAGTGATATAAATTGATGACTTGAAAAAAGGTGAGATTTATTCTTTATTATAAAGAATTTATATGCTTGAAGCATAATACTCAGTATTATATATATATGCAGTCCAGTTAAACTTTAGAGAAAGGTTGATGGCATTCATCCCAATAGTTCAGTCTATAAGTTAAACTGTTAGGGGAAGTTATACTGATTTTAGGGCTGGGGCCAGAAACCTTCGACCAGGGGAGTGCTGTTTGGTTTCTTAATAGTTTCATCATCTGTTGAAATACTTTGTAGTCATATTGTGATACATAAATGATTCCCCAAGATACCTGGTCAACGGTTTCTGGCTCCAGCTCTAAAATCAGTATCTTACGAAATGCTTTGTAGTCATATTGTGATACCTAAATGATTCTAAATCTGAATGATTAAGGGTTCACTGTAAAGTATTTGAATGAGATGTTTATGATGTAATTAGTTTGTTCATATATATGGATGACCCAGGTAGTTTCCTCTGATATCTAAGTATGTTAAAATAACCTTGAACCTTTGCAGGCATTTTAACCAAGAATGGTTTTACAGATATTAAACATATATATACAGATACACACCCTCACATACAAATTATCTGAAAAGATACTATTGATCTCGAGAATTGAAAGAGATTTAGAAGTGGTACTGGCTAGTAAATGGATGTTAGAAGATGACATCAAGGGTGTAGAAAGGAGGTGGTGAACACACACACACCTAAGAGTACTGGAAGACGGGACACCATGAGCATAGCTTTCATCCTGTAACTACACTTAGGTAATTACACACACACACACACACACACACACACACACTGTAACTACATTTAGGTAATTACTTAGGGAAATTACACATACATATAAGAGGTACCTTATATGTATGTATGTATATATGTATACTTATAAGGGGGGTACCTAGTGCAGTTATGGGGCTCCATAGCCACAGAGAATGAAATAAAAAGCATTCAGAAAAACATATACGTATCATGCTTAAGCTATATTGACTTTACATCTTGGTCTTCATTGGTGCTCTTGGTATAATGTTTCAACTTGCTCATAGACTCAGTAATGGTAGAAACTAGTGTGTGTGTGTGGTTGTTTTAAATGACATTTCTTGTCTTAGGGAATTTTGTGCCTTATACTGTATTAGTCAGCTGCTGATGCAAATATGAACTTACTGCCTATAAGAATATTGTATAATAGGTTTTGCATGTAGAGTACTCTAATTTAATTTTATTTTAGAGTAAATATTGGTTAATAATAAACTGACATGAAATATTTGTTTAAATATTTAGAAAACAAAACTCATTTATTGTTTAATATTTATTTATCATCTTGGTGAAAGTTTCATCAAAATTGTTAAAAGGGTTTTAGTGTAACAAAGCTGCTGCATATACAATCGAATTAACACTAATGTAAAAGGGAAGGAACGAAGGAAGTGGTTGTTCAAGAACCCACCTCCACACTCCAGTAGCGTTCCCCCGCTTCATAAGACCAGATGCACAGTGCTCCTCATGAATTGTAGTTGGTATATACAAATTCATTCACTCCCTTCTTAGAAATCACTTCAACCCAGTCTTGTCTCTTACATTTATCTTGTGCAGTGTACACATCTGCTCCCTGTGTCCTTACATACTCATTTACCATATCCGAACAACTTCCTCCTATCCTCTCTCTTCTCTTCTCTTTCTATTTCAGATTCACTGACATACACTCGGTCCACTGTTCATCCATTATCCATGTATTCAGCATGGCAAACCATCTCGATATGCTTTATTGAATCTTGTGATTCATTAATTTTGACATTACATCCCTCCATGATATTACTTTGTCGTCGTCTCGAAGTTGTATGTCAAAATTGGCATGAACACTTGTTAATTTAACCTTTGGCTGTATCTATTTTTTACTGTATTTTGTTTGTCTTAACCAAAAGTATTTACTCAGATCAATCACTTCCAACACTTCACAATTCACATTTGTTTAACACACAACTTTTGTCCACATTCGGTTGTAACAATCTCCTCTCATACATCCCATCAAATGTTCAACTAGTCTGTATTTTTTTTTTACTGCAAAAAAAAAACTATCATCTATATTTATCCATGTTTGTTTTTTGCAGTAATATATTATTTCTGTACACACACATAATTCACAAGTTCATGTTTGTTATTTAATGCTTGCATGTGCCCATAGTTCCTTTGTGTAGTAAATTACGAGAGAACAAACTGTACACATAAGTAGTAAATAACTGAAATCACCGTACTGGGACCATCTCAAAGCAATTATATATATACATATATATACACAGTATATACTACTCTGGAATGGTAATGAGAGATTATAGGATATGTACAGGTACAGTACATTGAAGATACTCAAAGGTCAGGCCCCAAATCTGCACACTAAAATAACTTGGTGGAGTGAAGGATATTGTAGGAACTTGAAAATACACAGTGAAGAAGGGAATGTGAACTATCAGGAGAAAGTGCCAAGCCATTGCAACTATATAGCAGTAGGAAGGGATCAGGTTGTGGATTTGGGATGGGAAAGGTGCGCAATTACTTGGACAGTCGGGGATTGAACGCTGACCTGCATGAAGTGAGACCGTCATTCTATCGTCCAGCCCAAGTGGTTGGGTGACACAGTGATGATGTAGAGGTGCCATATTCACAATTTGAGAATGCTGTATGAACATCAGAAGCCCACAACTTTGTAACCTTCTTCCAGCAAATATAAGAATATTGCCAGAACAAAAGTTAACTTTTTAAGAGGACTTCGAACAGGTTTGTGCAGTATTTACTAAACCAGCCAGGATGTGATGGATATATGGCCTGTTGACAGCAACATCCTTACCAATCTTAAGTTATGACTATGAAAACCTGGTTCCCATTAGGTTGTGCAAGAACTCTCCAAACTGTCTATAGGTAATTAAGTAACTAGAAGGTGGGGAACTAAAGAGCTAGATCATACTCCTTATAGACACTGATAAGCGAGTGTAGTATGGAACACACACATGTGTGAGTATACGCAGGTTCGTTGGCTTGACCTTACTTTTCCACTCGGGTATTCAAGATATCAAATACATTGGGTCTCTCGGGTTATGTCTAATCCAGCAAGTATATTTCTTACCTGGATGAATTTTGGATATGTTGGATACAGTCCCATGTGACACTTTTATTTGGACACAGGAAAATATATTCCTTGTACAGAATTAAGACAAATGGGGAGGGGGGAAAACCTTCAATAAGCCGCTGGCTAATTATTTTTGTCGAGGCCACTAGAGAGAGAGAGTGACAATTAGGTAAATAAGATAGAGTAACTTAGTGTTACTCTTCTAGAGTGTGTGTGTGTGCTCTGTAGGGATGGGGTGTGATGTGCCAATAAAATAAAATACTCAGAATGGTAGACAATATGGAAATTATTATTACCTAGTACTTATGTAATATTGTTCAGATTAAATGATGTTCAGCTGATTAATATTATGGTGAGTTCTCTTTGACATGAAGACTTTGTTGACATTTTCTCTCAATCCAGGCATGCAATTATTTGTTTTTGTTTGGTAGATAAAAAATGTAAGGGGATTTTAAAATGCTCAAAGAGAAGAATTTAATCTAGAATGGAATAAGAGTGGTTGCTGCATTCCCTGCAAACACACACACCGTAACTCTCCCCATTTTCTGCTCATTACAACTTGTAATAAAGTGGTTACATCTTGTTATAACATTTTTATGATGTATAAGAATGTTGTTACAACTTGTTATATTGGTTTTTACAACTTGTTAGGTGATGTTCAAACTTGTTCGAATGTTGTAGCAGCATCGTAGTTTTGTCATGTGTTTGGCGGGTTGTTCTGTTGCCTTTGAACAACATTTAGGTTCCTGACAAGCTTCTAAGAGCTTGTCTCATGAAACAAAAATGAGTTAATGACACATGGTGCAGTGGCTTTATTTTCGTAAATACTTCTATGGAATGTTTCCACGTGAATTTTAGACTTCATTACTGGGCTATTTCGTGTTTTTCCTTACACAGTGGAACCTCGGCTAATGAATGCCCCTATTTACGAATTTTTGGGGTTACGAGCTCAATTTCTTCGTAAAATTCTATTCAGTTTACGAGCTTTGCCTCGAGTTTCAAGTTTGTCGATACACGAATGGGTCGACCGAGTGCATAGTTCCTGGTGGAACTGGAAATGGTGCCTCAGTTTAACAGTTCCTCTCGCACTTTAGTTCTTTGTAAAGAATTTAATTGTTTTTAAGCTTTTTTGGTTTCTAAACATAAAAGTAATTATTATATACCATGCATGGGTCCCAAGAAAGTCAGTGGTAAGGTTCAACCTATGAAAACACATGTGAGGATGACCATAGAGGAAAAACAAGTTTCTATGGAAAGGTTCTTAGTGAGAGAAACAAGCAGTGAGCCACAACCAGGTCCTAGTGGTATGCCTGCAAAACGTAGGAGAGAGAGTACCCCGGAGAAGTCACCACTGCCTGATGTTATAATGGAAGGGGACTCCCCTTCCTAACACTACCACCTCTCCTCCCCTTCCTCACTGTCTTCCATACGCCAACAAGAGTCATCAATAAAGGTAAGGTATAACTTGTACATACTATAGTACAAAATATTTGTGTTTATTATGTATGAAATGTATTTTGAAGTTAATATTTTTTGGAGTGTGGAATGGATTAATTCAATCTACATTATTTCTTATGGGAAAATTCGTTTCAGGTTACGACCCGTCTCTGGGAACGGATTAATTAATTTGTAAACGAAGGTACCACTCTACTGTATTTTATAATACTCAAATATATATATCTTATCTAAAGTGGGGGACGGAACAGGGAGCATACAGCATAGTGCATGCTTTAATGGATTAAGGATGAGGTAAGTAGAGGGTCAGTGCCAGCTGGCATATTTAGTATCTCTTATGTATTTACATAATAATTTGTTTCCCCGTGCTCTATTTCTTTTCATGTGTGTGGCGGGTTGGTTTATTGGCTTTCAGTCTCATTATTGGGACTTATCCTCTGCATAGTACTTCTTATTTCAGAAGTGTGATATTTAAAAAAAGTCCACCCTTAATGTTTTTAATATTGTACTGTATATGTACCCCAGTCTGTATATGTTGTATTAAGTGTGTTGATATGAGAGTAAGTGGCTTGGATTATGTTTACTATTATGAAGAAAATGGTGTTTTAAATGACTGCAAGAAACTATATTAGTTATTACCTACATTCATTATGAAAAATTAAGATAGGTCTTAAAAATCTGAGTATTATGTTATATTCTAAGCCAATTGAAATCCTAACACAACATGGCATGATTCTGAATAGTGTGTTGTGATGTGTTTAATTAAGATCATATTCAATTGTTTGCTGTAAATTCAGTTCTCCACTCAAAGCGTTATATAGGGATATTTATACACAGTTGCAAAAACAGGTGCAACACATCATGTGCCCACTGGTGTAACCCAGTGGACACATGTTGGGCAAGCAACATTAATTCAACAGTACTCGAGCATGTTTTGTCCACTGGGAAGGAGTTGATGTATAAAAAGGAATGGGTTCACATGTGAGACTGTAGGACTTCACATGTGAGGTGGTAGGAGTTCACATGTGAGATGGTAGGAGTTCACATGTGAGGTGGTAGGAGTTCACATGTGAGATGGTAGGACTTCACATGTAAGGTGGTAGGAGTTCACATGTGAGATGGTAGGAGTTCACATGTGAGGTGGTAGGAGTTCACATGTGAGATGGTAGGAGTTCACATGTGGGGTGGGGAAAGCAGTGTTTTATTGATCTTTTTACTTTGTATTTGGGTTAGATATTTTTATTAACATTTTATAATGCTCTTGCATTTAATTTATGGTAATTAAAAAATTCTTCCAAATTTAGTAAAGGAATCTAGATATTGTGTGTTGCCCAAATGCATCAATAAAAGTTTCTATTTTTACTGTACATATAAAATATAATTAGTCTCTCCATATTTAGCAAACATTATTTTCCTGGAATAGATCTTATTTATCCCATTTGGGTCTGAACGTCATTTTAAAAGACTCAGTTCCACACAGTATCTGTAGGAATGCACTTATGTAAAATATGGAGCATTCTGTATTTTACATGATTGTAATGTTCATGATGTGTCCAGGAATGCATCTCGGTATAAAATCTGGAAGGTTTGTATTTTCAGCTTCATTTGGAAGTCCAGAGTTTTATCCAGTAGTCAGCTAGAAACTTTATTATTTTATTCTTATTTGAAAGGGTTTAAGCAGCAAGGGACCAAATATTACGTAATAATTATGTTGAATATCTTTGTGCAGCGAATTACATGTTTACATTTTGAGATGCAGAAGAGTTTGCTTCTGTACATTTATTGTTGTTCATCACAATTATTAGAATACTGTATGTTGATGTAAATATAAATATATATGCAGTTATATATACAGTAGCTAGAGATGTATAAATTCTTAAATTTATAAAATAGGATTAATATAATGGTATGGGACAGGTTCAGTTTGGAGAAGAAAATACCATATTTGCCGGCATTTAAGATACTTATAAAAGGTATTTTGTTGAAAAATATAATCTTAGCATGTTTCATTGTACATTTATTGAAAGTGATTTTAAAGTGCCGCTTTCGTATTGCCACATTCTTTCCCATAAGCTACAGTATCAAGCTTAAATTAAACGTAATGTTACAGCAATGCATCCTATCTGCTGGAAAATATGGTAAGTTATGATTCTTGTTTATAATACTGTTACATATTTTCTATTAGATTTCTGGGGTTTCATTTTGGTTTTGGTTATACAAATAAATTTGTGACTAGTATATAACTTTGAACTGTGGTGATCCTGTAACTGGAATATGTGGACTATTTTTCCATTAATAAATCTCAATAAGATATGCTTTTCTCATAAAAGGTAAATTGTCATTCATCAAAATAACAGGAATTTATATTTTGCAGAATATTTGTAATATCCTCTAACTGGAAATAAAGTACTGCATATTAAATGAAGATGCAAGTTTAATTTAAATCATTATGGTACTGAGTAATGAAGTGTGTTAGTGCAGTGGCTCACGTAAGAGATCTTTTGGTTTACCCAATACAAATGAACTAATATGATTAATATCCTGATCCTCCCGTGTGGCCTTCATAGCTTTCACTATCTCCATTTCTGCATTCTGGAGCTTTTCTTTGTTCTCACACATGCTCTTCCATAGTTCTTTTAACTTCATCTTAAATTTCTTTATTGCCTTCTTGGTATAGTGGACGGTAGAGCAACAGTCTCGCTTCTTGCAGATTGGTGTTCGATTCTCGATCATGAAATTGGTTGGGCACCATTTCTTCCCTCCCCCCCCTTCCTCCGTACCATCCCAAATCCTTATCCCAATCTTTTGCAAGTGCTATATAGTCATAATGGCTTGGTGCTTTCTAATGGGCTCACTATAGCCCGTGCTACATGGACATTTCATTCTGAGTAGCTAAATCTAAAACAACAAACAACAACAATGCTTTCTACTGATAAGTACCTTACGTTTTTGGTATGATAACATTCTAGGATGAGGTCATGTTCAATGCCACCACCACTAAAGTCTTTCCAACTGTTTTGTTCCTTTTTATCATTTCAGTGAAGCTAATACCATTGAAAGGGTCATGGAAATAAATTCTCTTTTCCCAGGCACTATTTCTGTTATCCTCAGCCCCTGCTTGGCTGATGCTACCGCCTCTGTATCTGCTCTGATGTTACATAGTCTTCAAGAGACTATTTCTGCTTATAACCCTGTGGGTAAAAAAGCATATTCTGCTCGCAACCCTACATTGTGGCTTGTTGAGCTTGAATCCCGTTGTTCCTTGTTTGTGTTACATCTGACCTATAGAAGACATTTTCTGGATCAACATTCACCAAATTGTTTATTATTTTAAAAGTTTCAATGAGATCCACCCTGTCATGCTTTTTTTGCAGTGTTGTTAGGTTCCTGATACCAGAGATTACTTATCTCTAGAATTATTTTTGTTGCCCGGTGTTGCACTTTCTCCAGAGCAGCTATGTCCTGAAGATGTGGTCTTCATGCTTGGATACAGTAATCCAAATGGGACTGCACACAGGTTTATACAGTTGAATCACCAACTTCCTTTCCTTAAAGTCAAAGGAATATATATTAAAATACCTACAATAATGTCTTGTTTCTGTGCAGACAAGAGGGTTTATTTTATTTTCTAGATGCTTTCTATTTCATTTAATATATCATACGGTTATTGCTATTTTCTTCTCCATCTCAGTTTCTTTTACCTAGACATTTTCCTTGTAGACAAATACTTTGATTGCCTCCTTTCCCCAAATCCATTCCCATATCACTATTATCTACTAACAGTTTAAACCCAAACACACTCCTCCAACCACAGATTCCAACGAATTGGCAAAAGTAACAACCCCAGCCCTTGATAAATGAACCCCATCTCGAGCATACATGTCATTCCTTCCACAGAAGTAACAAATCCATTAACACTTCCATAGAAGTGTTCCCATTTATCAATGAATGATATTGCATTTGATTAGCATTGTTTGTCTAGTCGACAATTGACTCCAAATGCCCTTGACAGGCATTCAATTCTAGCTTCCCTTCTTGGAAAAATGCCACACATAGGGTCCGTCTAATTACCGCAAGCTACCACAAGCTACACAAGCTTCACAAAGCTTCCTGGCAATACGTTAGTAATGAATAAATATGATAGGTTAGGTTGACCTAACCTAACCTAACCTAACCGACACTTGGATCGTCGACTTGATTTGGCGTCACCAGCTCTTTATTTTCGTCTAATTTCTTTATAAAAAGATACTTTTTCAGATTAAAATTATGTTTTTTCGTGTTGTACATTCAGCACCAACATTATAATAAGTAAATATATCATATTTATTCATTACTAACGTATTGCCAGGAAGCTTAGTGAAGCTTGTGTAGCTTGTGGTAGCTTGCGGTAATTAGACGGACCGCACACATATAATCGGAATCCTTTCCCTTGCTCCTAGTTCTATGGTTGCCTAAAACCTCTGTATTAGCGCGCCTCACTCCTATTTTGTTCCACTTCATCCCCGCCCCTCCGGCATTGATACAAATAATGGGTTCCAATTTCATGCCACAATATTATTCATATTTTTACAATATCCCCCATTTTTGCTTAATATCCCCAATTCCTGCTACTATATCCCATATCCCTGTGACAATGTCAACTATTCCAGCAATAATATCCCCCATTTCTGCTACAATATCCCCTATTTCTGCTACAATCTCCCCTATTTCTGCTACAATATCCCCTATTTCTGCTACAATCTCCCCTATTTCTGCTACAATATCCCCTATTTCTGCTACAATCTCCCCTATTTCTGCTACAATCTCCCCTATTTCTGCTACAATATCCCCTATTTCTGCTACAATCTCCCCTATTTCTGCTACAATATCCCCTATTTCTGCTACAATCTCCCCTATTTCTGCTACAATATCCCCTATTTCTTCTACAATATCCCCCATTTCTGCTACAACATCCCAATTCCTGCTTAATATCCCCTATTTCTGCTACAGTATCCCCTATCCCTGTTACAATATCCCCCTATTTCTGCTTAATATCCCCTATTTCTGCTACAATATCCCCTATCCCTGTTACAATATCCCCCTATTTCTGCTTAATATCCCCTATTCCTACTACAGTCTCCCCTATTCCTGTTGCAATATCGCGTCGTGTAAAGTGGGGAGAAAGTCAATTTGTGTGGTGAAAGATGAGAAGATATAGTGCCATTCTTTCTTTACGCGACTTATAAGTGGTACAGGAAGGATTAAAACCTTCCCTGTAATTTCCAAATGTGTGGGTTGTGTGAAGTGTTTATCTACGTTGTTGTGACTTGCTGTCTGCATGACTATAAGAATCTATTTGCTAGATAATTTGGTACTAAAAACAAAAACACATATATTACTGTTTATACTAAAACCGCTACTCATAAAATGCCTGAAACTGTCGTATATATATACAGTAGAGAACATGAATGTATTTAAATGTTTCAGTGACGATGATTGATAAAGATTAAGCCACCTAAGAGGTGGCACGGGCATGAATAGCCCGCAATTTTAGTGACAATGCCCGCAAATTATTATATGGATCGCGTAATGACAGGGGAGCGTTAACGCCTCTGGTGGTCAGAAGCTGAACTGTATTACAGGTTGCCAGTTTTGATATTATAGTGAAGCAATGGTGAGTGTAGTGTCCGGGAGGTCCCACTTCGTTAATTGGGGTCAGATGACGACGAGCAGGCGACTGGCATGGGAGGAATTGTGTAAAACCCTGGTTTGTGTCTCGGAGAGGCTGCAGGATCCAAGTTAGTTCAGTAGAGCTTCTGGTTGCAATTCTTTTTACCATGTCGTAACTCAGTCGATTAAGACAGCGTCTGGGATGCTCTCGGACGTAGGTTCAAACCATCGTCACGACCCTTGTGGATTTGTTCATGGTTCAAAGTGATTTAAGTGTGAGTACAGTAAATGTTTAAATGTTTATTCGGGTAAAGTACACACATACAAGGGGTGATACAAATATTGCTGAATTTATAGATAGCGCTAGTATATACAATGCCTAAAGCCACTATTACGCAAAGCGTTTCGGACAGGAAAAACACTAAAGACTAAAACTTAATACAAATTGAGATTAAAGTATAAAATGTGTTGCGACTATATAAAAATAAAGAAGGGGAACATGGCAGAAAAACAGCAAAAATATAATTTGGTCGACAAACAGCATTGTTTAAAAATAAGACATGGGTTGACATTATAGGGGTAAGGTAGGTTACAGGGAGTTAATTAGGTAGTGCTTATCTTTTATCTTCAACTGGTTGAGAGAGGTACAGTCTTTAACATGGTTGGGAAGGTCATTCCACATTCTGGGTCCCTTGATTTGTAGAGCATTTCTAGCTTAAGTCGAACTCTTGGAATATCATAAAGGTATTTGTTTCTGGTGTGGTGCTCATGGATTCTATTACAACCTTCAATGAAGCTTTTAGGTCAGGATTGGCATTACAGTTCAGCGTTTTATATATATATATATATATATATATATATATATATATATATATATATATATATATATATATATATATATATATATATATATATATATATATATATATATATATATATATATATATACACATGAGAGGATACACATAATACACAGTAGATCTGTGTTACAGCCATAATGGTTTAATCAATCATAATAGTGAAAGTAGTGTTGCCGGTGTATTTAATATTACGTTATTCGTTATATCTTATGTATTGAGGCAAGATATAGTATGACGGGTGACAGCTACAGTGGTACCCGCTAGTTGGTCATTAGGGCTCCTGTGGTGACCTTAACAGCCATGCCGGTGATTAGCCTTGGGCCCAACACCAAAACCAAATCTTCGATATATTTTGATGTAAATATGAATGAAACGAGAACATTTGGCCGCAGATTGTGTAAAGTGGCCAAGCCAGTTGGGGGAAGGGAAGAGACTTATCAGGGAAAAAGCGCCAAGCCATCACGACTATATAGCACTGGGAAGGGGTCAGGATAAGGATTTGGGATGGAATGGTGCCCAACCACTTGTGGACGGTCTCGGGGGATTGAACGCTGACTTGCATGAAGAGAGGCCGTCGCTCTACCGTTCAGCCCAAGTGGTTTGGGGGAGAAGAGGGAGAATGGAGGTTAGTATGAAAAGCATGATTCAGAATGAGGGAAGGAGAGGGGCTCATATGATGAATTTACCTAAGGGCCACCATCTATAGTGGCCTTGACGGGGACAGGACGCCGGCGGCTTGTCAAAGGTCCCGCTCTCTTACTCTCCCCTCCCCCCCTATTAAAGAAATTTTTCTATCTAGATTTGGAACTAAAGGAATTTGTTCTTTTCGATTGTTCCTCACTTTGTACACGATTGTCTCTTGTGTTCATTGTTCCTGATAGTGGTGGTGGTATCTTTAGGTTCCCTGTTACTGACA